AGGGACCTTGGAAAGCACTGTAGTAAAACATCACTGTGAATTAATACCTGCCCAGAATGCAGAAAACTTGCTTTCAAAAAGATCAGTTGCACTGATGCAGTGACTTGTAAAACAGACAAAGCTGGCGTACTTCATTTTATTTTAGTTTTCTTACTGTCAGTGGCTCGCCCGTTCAGCTTTAACGTGCCATCCAGAAATGTGGCTCTTAACTTGCTGTTTTTTTCTTAGCCTTGTTTTGCACTGTTTTTTGTGTAGGTTGCTTCTCTCATCTGCTATTTGGTCTTGAGCTTGGACTGAAGCTGGGAATTGCATTTCTGTTTTTATCATGTATGCCTAGGTGTTTCTCACTAAATCAGGCCTTCCTAGGAGCATGCCTTTTTTAGCTAGAGGGCAGTCTGCCTTCCAGATGCTGAGGTGACATCTTGGACTTGTCTTGATGTCTGGGTAAGTGCTACTATTGAAGCTGAAACATGAACGTCTGAATCTGAGTTTGTATTTAAAATTGCTCTCCAGCCAAGACCACTATGAAATTAAATGTACTGATTTTTTTTTCTAAATGTACATATCCCATAGCTTTGCAATAGTTTCATAATGAAGTTTAACCCTCAACATATTTAACTTGGTTTCTTCCTACCATCCATCCTCAAGATTAAGCTCAAGTAATTTGAAGCACTTAAGCAGAGCTCAGATACTCAGTGGCTTGTTGTTGTGTTGCCTACAAGTCTATAATTTGAGCTACCTGTGCAGCCAGAATGCTTGGAGATAAACCAGTCCCCTGGCAAGTTTTTGACCAGTGACATATTTTGCTACCACAGACTAATTCTTTACTGGTCTTGTTTAAGGAGAACTGATTTAATCTTTATTTGTGGCATTTAAGGAGAAGTTAACAACGTATGGATTGAGGAAGATAATGGTCTTTTTTGTAGTGCTGCAGTATAGCTTGGAAATGCACAGTATGATGTACCTAGTCCTACTTAAATTTCAGTAATGAGTCTTTTGTTTGTAAAGCGAATCAAATTAGAGTAAAGCTTACTCCTCATTTAGATTAGATTACAAGATAAAGTATCTTGCCTGTATTAAGTGTACCAGAAAAAGGAAGTAGTAAAAATCAAGACTGCTTCTGTGTTTAGGTGAAGCTGTCTTCAGGGTAACCTTTTTTCCTGCTCAGAGGCTACCTATCTTGAACCTAAGAACGTTCAATCTTCTGGGTAATTGGGAGAACTATTCACAGCATCTTTGCCAAGTTGTTTGCTAATCCAGTTTCCCAGCTTGCTACAAGAATGGTAGTGACACTGCTGGATAGTAGTTGGTGAATTCTGCAAAACTTTTGTATCAGCTTATGTGCTGTGCAATTACCTGAAGCAGTAGCAGAGGAGGAGGGTAACTCATATGAAATAAAAGTGGAAGCATAACCTGATTTACTAAATTTTATACTAAAAATGTGATTGCATTTTCATCCAGAAATGGATGGACCTAATAGCCTTATGTAAGCAACCTTCTCTAGAGAAAGGATTGTTTCTCGAGCAGCATAGGACTATTCCACATGTTTTGTTCAGCGCTACTGTCCTGTTCACAGGAATGTTGAGGAGCTGTTAATCCATACAGAGATGATTGAGATTGTCTAATTGTTGTGGTTAAGATCTCTGAATTAAAGATCTATAGGCATTTAATGATTTGAAAGGTTGATATGGAAAGTATAGCACTGTTGTTATGATAGCCCTGAACATCCCGTGCTTCTGGAATGGTTTTTGAGAAGTTTGGGAGTGGTTTCAGGCTTATTTTGAATGGAAAAGGATAATCACTTGTATAAGTTTAATCATCACTCGTGACCTCTTCAGAAGGAACTGGAAAGAAGCTTTCTCTAATCTTGTTTGCATGTTGTTTATGTTCAGTGGAATACAAAACTACAATCCCCATCTAACAGATCCTAAAACTAAGTTTTCATGACAGGTGGTCAAAGTACATATTCTGGGAGGCCACATATCAAACATAATGCTTGAGTTGAGATCCCTTGTCAACAGAAAGCTGAAATAGAAAGAAGCTGCAGGTGTCTGAATCTTTGAAGAGTCTCTAAAAGCTCTGTAGTGATCTCATTCTTCATGAAGTCAGGGCTGCCCCAGAACTCTCCCTGCATACCTGGGCTTTTTTGTTGATTATGGTCACTTGAAGGAGTTGTTGGCATGCCAATAGAAGGGGAAGTTTTAACCAAATGTTTCAGGGGATGGGTATGGATGGGTGTGGGTTGTTCCAGTTTTCCTTCAAGGATATTTGTGAGGGTCACTGGGATACCCCTTGAAGTATGCTTTAGTTTTATAAATCTATTTTTATTAACTCAGTGTTAGAAACAACAGTCAAATACTTAAGGCTGCACTGGTTTTGTAAATTGTTTGAACATAAAACCTCCAATCAGATATTAGCTTTTGGAGCCCATTTTTGTTTGGGGGAATAAGAAAAGTTGTCCCTGACTGATTGTCTAAAATTATGTAAGCAGTAACCCAATTACAGGGCAATACAACACTAAGAAACCTTTTTGGGAGAAGGCATTTCTGGCAGTAATAGACATTTTTCAAAATGATAGCCTCATTCCTGTTCTAGATTTGTTTCTCTTTATTAAATTTGTAAATATGAAGTAATTAAAAATTGCCTGGATATTAGTGAATGTGATTGCTTTGTCTTTATGGCTGAGGCATGATTCTAGTCTGGGGTAACTCCTGAAGTCATCACTTAGCCTGGGGCTATTTTTCTATGTCTTGTCTTCTGAGAAAGAGTGCCAATTGAATTTGGCTACTTTGAAAAGCTTTTATGGCTTTGATATGGGTTGAAAGCTGCTGGGGATGGGGATCATCAGACCCATTACACTCCAACATTATTCCATTTGTTTAGTCACTCCTGGTGCACAGATGGGATCTGAAAGAAAGATCTGTCTTGTGCAAAATTATCATTAATAATTCACTCTTGTATTACACTTGTATGTACTCTGTATTTCTCCAATAGGAAAGCTATTGTATACCTGTTTTTGTATACCTGTAATTGTGCATGTGCTTCATCAGGAAGTTTCAAAAAGTAGTCATTAAGAAGAAAAGAGATTCAAGACCTAAACACTTAATATGGAGATGCACACTTTTTGCTAGGAAGTGTTTCAAAACCACAGTGAGAACATAGCCTTCTTTCTAGGGTATGCCATAGGGACTGGCAAGTTTGTACTTGGAGGTAGGGAGGTGACAAAGCATTTTATAGAAACAGACCTTAAAAAATTACAAGGGTCAGTCTCAAACTGAGTTCTTGGTCTACTTACAAACTACTTCAGAACGCTATGACATTTATTGAAGATGTTTGGATTTATGCTTATACTCAAGTATAGTTTTAATAAGTTCGATTTTCTATTTTTCTAAAAGTAACTTTAGAAGAATAACAAACCAAAAACATTAACCAGTGTTAATGACAGTAGTATGACTCAACTGTTTCATCATACCCTGAATTTTGTAACTGATATTAAACAAGAGTCTGTCATGTTCCCTAAAATGGGTTTGTTACAAAGAGTTTTCTTTGTATCAAATAACATATATGCATGAAATTGTATTTCTTGTCACTTTCTCCAGTAAGTGCTTAATTGTAAAAGCAATTTCTTAAAATGTTATCTGCTCTGCCCCCGATAAGGTCCACCTGTTCTCCAGTAAGTGAAGTACTCCCACTCTCACAAAAATTTGACTTTTCACACTGTTTTAAATTCTCATCTAATTCTGTGACTTTTCCAGGTGTTTTCTTTGTTATGTATATTTAAAAAAATATATACAAAATATATATATATAAAAAATAATAATTTAAAGATGCTTACAGATGTTTTTGCAAGTTGAGCTGGAGGGAATGAAGAAATTAATGCTTCCAGCTGTGGTTAGAATGAATCTCAGCATTAGAATTGGTAACTATAAATACAAAAGCATTTTAGCTGAAATGGCTTTTAACACTTAGTCAGCAATGACAATGGAGTGTTACTTCATCTCTGCTTCAGGAGAAGTATTTCTCAGATGGTGACTAAATATTTTACAGAGATGGTATCTTACATTGTTATACCTAGAGCTTCTGCTTATTGAATCTTAGCTCTTTAGAAGTTCTGAACTGTTGTTGTATACTCAGTTACTGGGATCCAAATGTTTCATAACCTGATGATACCTTATTTCTCTGCAGGGGCGTATTATTACCATCCTGTCCTTCTTCACCTGCTTTCCCTTGAGTGGGCCTGGTAAGTTTCCGTGTTTTCTTAAGTAGTCTTGTCAAAACAAGGATTAATTTGTTTTTGGCCATTCCTCTCCCTTCAAATGAGAATATAGGGTAAGAATGTGGTTTTTACCTTAGACCTGCTATTTGTGTTGTTATAGCCACTAGTCAGCTCTATTTATTGGAATTGAAAGTTGCATTTAGAATACATTAAGAAAATACAGTACATTGCCATTCCTTGTTATCTGTACTGCTTAACAAATTTATAGTAAGAAACTGGTAGTGCCTGTGGTATTGTGATTGGCACTGCATGTTTGATTAGTTTGTTTCAGTAAGTAAAGGCTGATGTTTCTGAGAAACCTATCTTTTTGCCAAACCTTGGCGTATCAAAAATGACTGAACTTTATTTCTTGAAGTCTTGTATGGCCTTTTTTATTTTCTTGTAGTTGTTTGTTTAAAAATTATTTCCAGTGAAATAGTGATAGCTGTGGGCTTTTCTCATTTTTGGTGTGATTGTACGAGACTTTGACTTTACATTCTAGATTATCTTGCCTGAGCATGCTCTGTTCCATTAATGTAGCTGTAGCAATGCAGAGCTTAACAGATCTTGATGCTTGCAGTAAGGCAGAAATTGTGATGAAAACTGAAATGTTTGCCCTGTATTTTAATGGCTTTGCCTAAATAAAGAATACTTGATGCTTTTCCATCCAGAATGAAGACAAATGTAAAGATGGCATGTCCAAGGAATTTTAAAAGGTGTAGACCTCCTGACTGAGAGGTGCTGTGTATTTTATTCTTTTAAATAAAGTAAGTATGAATCAAGGCTACCCTGCTAGGGGCTAAATGTGCCTGTTTTATGTATGTAGCATGCACATGCTTGTACATGGATGTATGACAGTAACAGACAATTTGTGTTAAAAAGCTACACTTTCATTAGTATGCTTAAATGTTGTGGAAAAAGTCTGGGAGTTATATAAAAGATATGTAATGTGAAGCTGCTGTTTTGAGGTGGGTTTTTTATTCCTTTGCTAATTAGGAGAGACTATTTAGTCCAGTATAAAATGATGAATTACAAGAATAGTGATTTTTACCATATTGCTTTGATTATTTTTTTTTAATTTTTGTAAGTGAAATAACTTAAAGAGAAGGATTGCTATCAATATCTCAGGTACTACTTTAACTCCTACCTGGTTATTTCTTTTACTTGACCAGTACCCAAATGTTTAATCAAAACACCCTGATTTCTTTTGGTAGTATCTTTAAGTTTTTTGCATTTTTAGTAACTTTCACTAGAAAATAAAATGAGATCATGGCTAGGGTTAAGTGCCAGAAGTTCTTAAATTCTTTTGCTATACTGTGGGTGCTAAACCAATGTTGTTCTACATGCACAAATCATGAAAACAATCATAAGCTTCAAGCATTTAATACAGAGAAATGGTTTTTAACAATTCTAAGGATGTCTTTTTTTTTTTCTCTACCAGCTGCTGTTCTCTCACAGGTGAAAGTCATGATCACGCTAACAGAACTCAAATTCTTAGCAGATGCTCAGTCATCCTACCACATACTAAAACCATGGTGGGATGTCTTCTGGTATTACCTCACCATGATAATGCTGCTAGTTGCTGTGCTTGCTGGAGCACTCCAGCTTACTCAAACCAGAGTGTTGTGTTGTCTTCCTTGCAAGCTAGAATTTGACAATCATTGTGCCGTGCCTTGGGATTTAATTAAAACCAACCTTAACATGTCTGCTAGCTCTACTGCACAGATAATCATCCCACTTAAAATCCAGAATGATCTCCATCGGCAACAGTATTCCTATATTGATGCAGTATGTTATGAGAGACAGCTTCATTGGTTTGCCAAATTTTTTCCGTACCTAGTGCTTCTGCATACCTTTATTTTTGCAGCTTGCAGTAATTTCTGGCTTTACTATCCTAGTACAAGTTCCAGGCTTGAGCACTTCGTAGCAATTCTTCAGAAGTGTTTTGATTCTCCATGGACAACGCGTGCCCTCTCAGAAACAGTTGCTGAGCAGTCTGTGAGGAAGTTGCCAGTTGCCAAATCAAAAGCAGTGATTTCATCGCCTGGGAGTTCAGTAGATGTAGGTGCCAGCAGACAGTCCCTGCCATATACACAACCTGGCTTGGAAACAACCGGAAGAGAAACTTCTTCAAGTGTTCTTGACAAAAAAGAAGGAGAACAGGCTAAAGCTATATTTGAAAAAGTGAAGAAATTCAGAGTGCACGTTGAAGAGAAGGATGTCATATACAGAGTGTATATGAAACAGATCATAGTCAAAGTCATTGTGTTTGTAATAATAATAATTTATGTTCCCTATTATTTATCCTTTATTAAACTTGAAATTGATTGCATAGTTAATGTACAAGCCTTTACAGGCTACAAAAGGTACCAGTGTGTTTATTCGCTAGCAGAAATTTTTAAAGTTTTGGCTTCATTTTATGTTGTTTTGGTGATCTTCTATGGCTTAACTTGTACATATAGCTTGTGGTGGATGTTAAGAAGCTCACTTAAGCAATATTCTTTTGAGAAGTTGAGAGAGAAAAGTAACTACAGCGATATACCTGATGTAAAGAATGACTTTGCATTTATTCTCCACTTGGCAGACCAGTATGATCCTCTTTATTCCCAACGATTTTCAATATTCTTGTCTGATTTGAGTGAAAACAAACTGAAACAGATCAATCTGAACAATGAATGGTCAGTGGAAAAACTGAAAAATAAGCTAGTAAGAAATTCCCAGGACAAGGTTGAACTGCACCTTTTCATGTTAAGCGGTCTTCCAGACAGTGTCTTTGAACTGACAGAAATAGAAGTCCTAAGCTTGGAACTTATTCCTGAAGCGAAGCTTCCTTCAGCTGTGACCCAGCTAGTCAATCTCAAAGATCTCAATGTTTATCATTCATCAATAACTATGGATTTTCCAGCAGTGAGCTTTTTAGAAGAAAATCTGAAAACGTTGCGTCTGAAATCTAGTGAGATGGGAAGAATTCCATTTTGGGTGTTTCATCTGAAAAACCTCAAAGAATTGTGCTTAACAGGATACTTCATGCTTGATCATCACAACTCCATTTACAATGAAAGCTTTCAGGGGCTAAAAAATCTAAGATCAATTCACTTAAAAAACAACCTTTCTCGCATACCTCAGGTGGTTACAGATCTGCCTTCTTTGCAACACTTATCTATCAACAACGAGGGGAATAAACTCATAGTGCTAAACAACTTGAAGAAGCTTGTGAATTTGAGAACCTTGGAATTAATCTGCTGTGATCTGGAGCGCATTCCTCATTCCATTTTTACCCTAAACAACTTGCATGAAATTGACTTAAGAGAAAATAATCTCAGAACCGTGGAAGAAATCATTAGCTTTCAACACCTTAAGAACTTGTCTTGCTTAAAGTTGTGGCACAACAGTATTTCATATATCCCAGTGCAAATTGGTGCGTTATCAAACCTGGAACAATTGTATCTAAATTACAATAATATTAAAGATGTTCCATTGCAGCTGTTTCTTTGCAAAAAGTTACAATATTTGGATCTTAGCTATAATAAGCTAACCTCCATCCCTGAAGAAATCGGTTATCTGAGCAACTTACAGTACTTGGCTTTGACTAAAAACCATGTAAGTAGAACTTTGAATTACTTAAAGTATTTTTTAAATTATATATTGACTTTGCTTTCCTTCTGTGGTAGTTTCTGATTGAAAGTGCTTTTTTGGTGTACGTGGTTAAAATAAACTCAGTGAAGATAAAAGTAAGTGGTAATTGTCCGATTGCAAGAACTTTGTGGTGTCGTCAAAGCTTGTTTAATACTGAATAAGTACCACTCTGGTCTTGTAGTGGCTTAAGGACTCTGATCCATAACTCAGGATAGTACCAGGTAGATGCTAAAATGTGCCTGCTGTTCTTTACAGTTGTCTATTCTGTGTAGCATTTTAATGGAAATTGGCAGTGTGACATTTTTACATTGTTTTGTCACAGTGAAAGCTTGGCAAATCAACAGCTGGTTTATGAGCAGCACAGCTGCCTGGCTGGGATGGGGGAAACAATTATGCCTGGTAACATCATCAGCAATGCTAAGCTGACTGGCTCATTATTGTAGGGTCCAAGTTTGACTTAAGACTTCTCTTCAAGTTTAGAACTGTTTTTGCTGGTGAGATTGGTTTTAGATGTTAATATCAATAACGTGGATTGGGACTAATTACCACTATGCTGTGTGGTTAACTGCTTCTACAGGCTTCACAACACTGGAGCTGCTAATGTCTCTCCACAGAATCTGCTTCATTAAATGATTCTTAGGAAATAGTGGTCTGTTTATTCACCCCTGCCACCTGCATGCATTTGTACACGCTTGAGTGTGCACACATGTATGTGCTCTCCCCTGCTGTGCTTCTGTTTTGACTTCTGCCAGTAGCTAAACATCTTCACAACAAAGCAGGTACATGAAAACACTGAGGTGTTCTCAGGAACTTTACTTAATGATAAATAACTCAGGAACTCACTTAATGATAAAACATTACATATTCCTTTCTTTATCCTTCCACAAACAAAGAGCTTGCTTACCCTAGAACAAAATTGGGTAATATGAGAATGTGCAGCAGTGTTAACAAATTTTAATGTATATTGTTTTTCTCTTCTCTCTTCTTTCTAGATTGAAATGTTGCCTGATAGACTGTTCCAGTGCAAAAAGCTGCAATTTCTTCTTCTAGGAAATAACAGTCTGATGAATTTATCCCCTCTTGTGGGCCAGCTACTGAATCTTGTTCACTTAGAGCTCATTGGAAACTATCTTGAATCGCTTCCCACTGAACTGGAAGAATGTCAGTTCCTAAAACGGAATAGTCTAATTGTAGAAGAAAGGTTGTTAAAAACGCTTCCACCTCGTGTAAGAGATCGCTTGCAGACCAGCTCAGATAAGTGCTAAGCTTGAACTAAAACTCGGCATCAGTGCATCCTGTAAGCCTTCTTGCTTAATACTCTCTAAAGATCTGTATAGATGGAGAGAATAGCAGTTTACAGATTAGTCTTAAATGCATTGAACAGAGTTGATTGTATTGGGAAAGAAAAACATACTTAAATGAAAAATACAGCCTTTGACAGGTAATCAAATGTTTAGAAAATCTGAAATATGAATTGCTGGTTGGATTCTACTGGTTGAAATAATTTGGTTAAATGCTAATGTATTGGAATGGAAGAGTTGATTGCCTGGCTATTATGAGTTTGTATATACTTTCTTTCCTATGAGGAAACTTTTTGCTGTTGGTAGTGATAATTTTAAACAGTTTCATCTCCTGCCATACGAGGCCTAAGAACTATCTGGAATTAGTTTCTAAATGCAAAGTCTTCACTAACTTAGAATGCTAAATAAATTTAAACTTTTGGAGCAGTTCAATTGCATGGGACATACTGAGAATCTTTTTCACGGTACCTTAATTTTTGGAGGTTTTTGACAAGTACTGAGTGTTAATGCTATAATTGTGGAAGATGCTATTTAAATCTTCCTAGTAAAGCCAGTTGGGCAACAATACCTGAAACCAGTTTCAATATTTTGTCTTAAAGATAGTAAGTGCAAAACAAAACATTGCCTAGAAATTTGGACGAATCAGGACAATCTAGAGTAAGTGTTGTGCATGTGTACTAATCAAATTTTACAGTACTGATCATAAAGTTGGCAAACAGCACAAAATTATAAAGTTGTCTTCTGTATGTTGTGAGCATCCCAAGTGTTAAGTGTAATGTATGTTGCAATTTAATATTTTTCAATAGCCTCTCATTTACTGACTGCCTCAATGTTTCTTCTCCATGCCCAGTTATGATATTTTAGTGGCTGGGAAGAGAATGAAAGAGGTTTAAGACTGAAAGACACAGTTAGAACATACCAAATAAATCACATACTTAATAAGTACTTGAGAAGGAAAAATAAGAATTATAAGCCTTGTCTCTTCTGGGAATGGAATAACTTCATAAATTACAGTGATGAAATTAGTTCATATGCCATCCTTAATACTTCCAACACTGGATGGAAATAAAATGGTTCCTGACTTCATTCATTCTTCTGCTGTGCACTGTTTTATTGTGTTTGGAGACTTAACTCTGGAGACATCATGTTCACTTTGACAGTTCTCCCTCTGGTGGGGGTGTTGGGGGGGGAGGGGAGGGAGAAGTATGCATTCCCAAACCCTTAGACTTGAAAGCTTCTTTGTAGTATCTTGAAGTTCTTGAAAACATAATCTGCTACAGTGAAATCGATAAGTTAAACTGTGCTCTTAACTACTGCGTTTTCATCAAGTGTGCTAACTATGCATTCTGGTTTGTAAACATAAGTAATCACAGATAAGCCAGTTCTAGTACTAGGGTGCTTCTAGTCATCTCTTCCCATTTCAGTGTCACTTACATGGAGAATAAGGTCTGTTTTGAAAATAGAAGCAAATCTGATCAGTGTGAAAGCAGGAGATATCTCTATAGTAGCAGTGCAAGAGGTATGTTTATTCACTGTACTGATGGTGTTCCAAAGACTTCTGTAGATAGAACACTTTTTTTTCTCAGGGAGCCAATGCGTTGTAACTTATATTTTATGTAGTTCTAGAAATGTTTAGTGTAAGCTGATTAACTGTATTCATGTGCAGACCAGTACAGCTGGAGTAATCTTTCATAGCATCCATATGCAGCTTTCTCAAACTACTTACATCTGATTTTGAGTTGCATAATAGTTCATAGGTATTGATGTGGTTTGCAAACAGCCAGTTGTGCTGGTCATGGTAAAAATATGATTTAAATGCAGTACACTGATATGCACCCCTGTGGCTGGAGTTTTGTTAATAATTGCAGTGGATCCCTGTCAGGACTTTGTAACTTAACACTGGAGAATGCTTCGTGGCAGAATTTGACACGCAAGGCTTGCAGCCAAGTAATTTAAAAGAAAAAAAGATTGAGCAAGTGTTTTCTTTAAGGCTTTTTTGAAATGAGAAAGCTGTGTTGAAAGTTAAATAGGTGTGTATATGGCTTTGTCCAATACCTTCAACTTTTTAGTAGCGGATCTGTCCCCTTTATCAACACAACAGACAGATGAATGATGATATCTGTGTGCATTTCTATTTCACTTTGACAAAACTAGCGTAAGCTTTGAATGGTACTTCATTTCTAAACTGCATAACCTCCAGTCCTTTCAACCAGTAAGAAATGCATGAGTATGCACTTGTTTTACAGTTTTAAGTTGCATTTTTTTGTTCAGGATTATTTTTTCAATCTGAGCCACTTCAAGAGGATTGGATTTTTTTTTACTGTATGCTTGAGTGTTCACAAGACATCCAGAGAAAGGCCAGAGTTTAATGGCTAGAATCTCCAGCCTTGTTTTCAATCCGCAGTGTGCCTTTATTACCCATTTTGTACCATTAAGCACAATTCTAGTGCTTAGAAATGGAGACAAAAACAACTCTAAATTTCATACACTTATTTCAATCATGACCTTAATATTTAATATTTCTTCAAACTGAGGAGGTTTTCAGGGAATCAGTATAAATACACTATCATAAGCTTTGTACAACAAGCAGTGCTGGCATTTAGTCTTTGTATTTAGTAATTGCTTTCAATCAAAAGTTTTTCAAGTTGTTTCAGTGTTGTGTTGACCCTTGTATTGTGATCTTCCGTATCTTGAATGCTTTTTTAAAAAAAATAAATTTTTTTGTATTACAATTCTATGAACTGTTTTTTATTTCCCATGTGGTATTGAATGTGAAGCTCAGAAAATCTGCTTCCAGCTATCTATATGCTAGCAGGTGTGTCTTCAGGAGAGCAGCAGTGGAAAATGAACACTGTGCTCCATTTCAAAGGGATGTTCTCATGTTCTGGGCTTGGAGGAGAAGCTCCTAGAAGCAAGTTTGCATCTTAATAGTTCTGCAAACTACAGGTCTTCCACTTCAGTTCTTAGGAGCTGAATAAAAGTGGAATGCAGCTTGGAATTGTACTGAGAGATGTGGGGAAAGCGATGATTCTCTTCCCAGCTTGTCCTTTATGGCTGTCACACAGTTAAACTGCTAAAAATAATGCTGTTTGTATTAAGTCATGCATGTATTTCAAGTGCTGATTATACTGTGAGCTTGAGAATCTCATTTCTCTTGCCTAATAGTTTTCTTTAGTTTTCTTTGTGGGAAACTGTTTTTTCTCTTTTTTGAACAGAAGGAAAAAAAATTGTGCAAATATTACTTGTTCAAGAGCTGATTTTTGGATCTTTTAAAACAAAAACCTTCCTTGTCGATTTTACAGTACTGTCTCTTGGTGATGAAATTAAATACCTGGATCTGTAGAAGCCTGGAACAACAGCTTAAATGAGATTCATTGCCTTACTTTACTAACATTACCAATGGATTTTCTATGAGCTGGTAAAAAAACAACAACAAAAAAATGTAGTGTTAGTAAAGTAAGGCAATCGATCAAATCAAAGATTAATTCTCATGAAGTCAGATTATTGTATTTCTAATGACTTTTTTGCCAGTATATTTACATCATGCTGACAGACTTATTGGTATTTCTGCACTGACTTTCCATCTTTTGAATGTGAGCTGAAGTTCTCTCTGTGATCCTTTCTAAGTGAATCTTTCCCTCTTCACTTTCTATCTCAATAAATGCTGGGGACATAGAAAACAATATAAGAGCAGCTGAAGTATATTCTAGTACTAATATGGCCCAAAATCCTGAGAGCAGAAGGCAGTGTGTGCAGTCCTGTACTTTACGTCAAGGATTTCATGGAACTCTGGATGTTTCTGTAGATCAGTAATTAACTAAGCTGTTGCCTTATTTAGCCTTGTTGGGCGAGTCCTTTGAATGCCACAGTAAGTATAGAGCTCAACACCAGGTTGAGTAAAACAATCCTGATATCCTGTGCGCCCTGTGGGGGAAATATATGTATCTAGTTGAGAACTAAGGTACAAAAATATCCCATTTTCTCACAGCAATAAACTAAGGCAATTCCAGCTCTGCACATCGGTTGCTCTGTGTATGTGTATTGTATCTAAAGAGAAACAGTGAAAAGATTTGCAAGTTTTTGAAGCTAGCATCAAACTAGTTGCAATCTGACTGTTACTGCAGCATGCTGTTTAATTCCTAGAGGAGACAATTGGCAATAGCTTGTGTGTCTCAGAAGGTGACTTTCAGTTGAGCTGCAGAAACTGCAGCTTGCTTGCTGTCATGATGGAGTTGATAGTTAATGCAGACTGGCAACAGAGGAGAAATGGTACTTGAATGATTGGAAAAACTAAGTCCTACTGCAGTGCTGTCTGCTTGTAGGATATGGTAATGTCACTAGAATTCCTGTCTGAAGAAGTCACCAGCCTGGCATTACATGAGTTCATCTCCTTTCTCTGCTGCCAAGACATATAGGTGATGGAGGGGCAGTAGCAGATCACTCTGGGGCTAGTTTGGCCTCTGAAGGGGTTTAAGCATTAACTCAATTTAGTGTGTTTAGTAAATGAAGTGTTACATTTGTCTTCCTGCTTCCTTATGTTCTTCCATTTATGTGAATATATCTGTTCTTTGTCCAACCTCTAATAACTCAATCTATTTTTATCACATTTGTACATTAGTGTTCTCTTTGCTAAGCAGGAGCTGGCTAAAAGGCTTTCGAATGGATGGCCTGTACATACAAACCCCAAGGAATCTAATGCTTTAGGAAGAAAAAACTGAATTTTAACTCTTGAAGTCATGGCAAGGAAGATTACAAATCAATCAGTCTTCTCCTGTGAAAGGAAGAAGGACTAGTTTTTCAGAGTAATGGGGAGGTATCTTGGAAGAATTGTAGTCAGTATCCGCTGCCCAGCAAAGCTGTTGGGATCTGACTGGGAAGTATTACTTGCTGGTAGGTGGTTATGATGTGTATGGCGCTTCATACAGTGAGGCATTAGTCTAAAGCACTTGTGGGCATGCTATTAAAAAGCCCCAGGTGAATGTATTACTTAATATTGCTTTAGAAAATGCTACTGTATATCATATAACTGATACTTCTGCTGTTTATAAGACTTACATATAAACCTTCATGAAATAAATTTCCCTTCTCTTTCTCATTCATGCATATCTCCATGTTGCAGAACAAGTGCTATTGTCAAAATGCTTCGCAAAGCAGCTAACATAATTAGTATTTGAAAAGCATGCAAGGATGAATACTAATTATAGTGGAGGGAATGCCAGTCACTGCATTCTCAATAATGACAACATGATATTTAATTTGCTAGTTTTCTGCCTCTAACAAGTTGAAGAATCTTGGTGCAGTCTGACAAGTACCAAAGTTTATAGGAGAAAGGGATAACTAACAAGAGCCTTCTCTTATGATGGTTACTTAGGGTACAACTTTGCACTTGCTTGCCAAGAAATTATCCTTTGTGGCTGCTTTTTATAGTACTTTTTTCCAATCAAGTGGCAATAATTTCTGTAGGTGAGCTACAATACAGATATGGATACTTATATACCTATAAGTATCAAATCCAGATCTAATATTAAATGTGTCTGGGGCACAGTTCTTATAGTAAATATGCTCTTCTATCTTAGTGAACCTCAAAATAGTAATTGAATGGAAAGTGAAAGCATAAAAGATGTTTAAAACTTGTCGAGAATTTACAAGTAACATGCCTTGAAATAATCTTATTGAGTGGCAGGCATGCTCAGTTACCTTGGCTATGGGGTTCCCTGAAAATTTAGAAGTAGGAGGGAAACTAATGAAACCAGCTGCAGTAGCTGGTTGTAAGACATCACATCTGTATTCCTGTATCAGTTCCTTATTCTACTGGTGAGGGACACTGCTGGTTTTTATTCAAAGCAGTCTGTCTTTTTATAGGAAACTCATGAAGGAATGTAGGGCTGTTCAAGGATTGATTCTGTGTGGTGCTGAGTTTCTGAGTAACTGTTCATGCAAATGTGCTCGACTCCCACCCGAAGCCTGTGGGAGTAAAAACTGAGGCTTTTAAGTTAAGCTCTCAAGTAAAGATTAATAGTCAATAAGTGGTACTTAAGATATTTTTATGAAAAGCTTTGCATGTTTTATGTTGCCCTGCACTTAGTTCATAATATATCAACAGTGTTTCTGTTGGAAATGCAGAACTGTCAGTGGGAAGCTGGAGCAGTGGGCAGATGGGGAAGATGGAAAAAGCACAGGAGCTGAGTCTTCAGTCAGCAGTGAAACGGCAAATTGTACATGACAAGCTCTCTTTTAAGGCTTCAGGCTTAATCAGTTAAGATCTGTCATCTACTTTCCTTAGAGTATTGCTCTAGTACCTTGCAGGCTCAGGAAAACAGAACTAGAGCATTGGGCTAGCCAGGGTTCAGGGATTTTCCTTCCCTGAAAGCTGTGTTCTCTTTTGTAGCGAAGTAATGATGCTGCAGAAGTCTAGTATGCTTAATAAGGCTTTGAACTCCAAACTGCAATATCTCTTTTCAGAATTCTCTGTTTAGGGAAAACCTGCCTACGAGTTGATTTTAGCCCTGCCTTTTCTCAGTGATGGCTTATTCTTAAGTGAGTTTTAAATCTAGTGATAATTGCCATAGGACAAAGGAATCTCCTACAACATCTAGGTGATGCTGAAAGTAATCTGTTGTGTTTACCTAAACATTGCATAGGTTTCTGTGCTGAAGGCAGGGAGGTGCTAATTTGTGTGGCTCCTGCATATGCCCAGCTGGTTATTATGGCCTGGTGTGCTGGAGAACTGCTTGTGTTGTAGGAAAGAAAGAGCTGGGAAGGGTGCAGTAGGGCTGATTCTTTTTGTGGCAGTGCTAGTTCATGTGAGTTTTGATTGTTAGAATTATGTGCGTATCCAAGTGTAGAACACTGAGTATAAACTGAGAAGACTGGAAGATAAACTTAGTAATTATCTAGAAATTCTTTGCTTCATGTTGAAGCTGGCAAAAGTGGTGGGGGGGAATACTGTTTGGAGGTGAAAGCTTTGGTTGTGGAACATATAGGGAGTCCCTCCCTATATGAGCATTTACAGTTTCCATTCTTAGCACTGGTTTAGCTGAGAGCTGTAGTTTTGCGCTCTTCATAGAGTTAAACCAGTGGCTTCTTTAATAGATACCTACAGGGAGGGGAGTAACATTTATCTTAATTCTTTTTCAGATAAAATATGCTAAAGAATCAGGAGGCTTTATTGTGAGGTGCAAGGGGCATGCATCCTGTGCAGCTGGTGACCTGATGCATTTGGAAATGCTGAGTAATCCTTTGCCTTTTCCTCTCAAAATGCTACATGTGCTGAGAACATAGCGAGCTGAGAGACAATGTGCTGAGTAGCCCTAATAAAAGGATTGCAGTTAAGTGCTCGCACTAATGTATAAGGTATGTGTGTGGTAATTTATTAAGAAGTAAAGATTAAACTAGTGAGAGCTCAGAAGTAATCTGCTATGCCCAGAAAGTTAAAAGAAATGTTTACAGATACTATGTGCTCTTGCTTGTTGATGCTTTTCTACTTGCTTTATTTTTAAATCTCCTATGTAAGTAGCAGATGTTACTTAAATGCTGCATAAGGCATTTTACTGTAAAATTTCTTTTCTGCTTTATGCAGCTTAAGGCATACTTTACTCTGTCTCCCTCTACTGGCATTATCATATGACTGAATGGAATTTCAAGTATGGACAATCTCTTTAAAAAGTGTTTAAAACATTTTGATACATTCAATAGAAATAATAATCGATGCCCTCTGAAGTTAGAATGTAAG